AACCATTGCCACTTCTTTTTGTGGGGGAGAATCAAAGACCTTGTGTTTCGAAATCGCAAACTATTAGAAGATAATTGGAAGAGGCACTCCGTACTGCATTCAGGCAGCTTCGTGACGTAGAACTTCTTAATGCAAAAAATAGAGAAAATGCAGGATACGTTTACAAGAAAACGGCCGTCAATTTGAGCATAGTTTAATTAATAAAAATTTTAAATAAAAAAAAATGCTTTTAATAATTTTATTTCAGTTTATTACTTTAGGGTTGGTAATTATTGTAAACTAGAAGTTAAGCGCCTTCTATGGTAAATATCAAAAATTGGTAGAAGAATTGATTTCATGCAAGAATTTTAGTTTCATCGAATACAATTTTATGTCCGGTTTCGTGATTATGTTCGACAACAGCTGATGGGTTTATTTGTCTTAGTCTTAAGCCTTTTTCATGTTCTTTGAGCCCAGTTGATATTTTTTGTCCGGTCTTTCCAATGTATTCTTTGCCGCATACGCATGGAACGCTGCAAACTCCCGGCATCTCAATTGGAATTTTCTCCTTGAAGGGAGATTTTTGGACCAGTGGTAAATCTGGTTTTGACGTTATATTTCTTTAGAACATTTGATATGTGGTCAGTGAGGTTATGAATGTAAAGGACAACATAGGCAAGTGTGGAATTGCTGGATTGCTGACATTTTCAAATTGACTATGACCTACTTTGTATAGATAAATTGTTTATGGAATATTTCTTTGTTTTGTCATAACTGTGGATATGAAATCTACACACGAATTCCGCTGTAGTTTGGCAAAAATCCCCAACGAATAAGACATTGGCGTCGTTAATCACTTCTGGAAGATCATTAGTAAAGAGGATAAACAGTATAAGTATTATATTATATTATGCAGATATGACCTTAATTTTCCTTGTCATTTATCAGGTTTGTCGATAGGACGTATTAACAACGACCGTTGCATTAAAACAATTGAAAGCGGATCGTTTATTAGGCGAACTTTACTACCGACTATCGCGTCGCCATGAACATGAAAGACCTTCTCGTATTTAAAATCATCCGCGTATCGTGCTTGCTGTTAGGTTTCGGCGTAGCCGACACATCAACCAAGATCTACGCCTGTTACGCCGCCTGCAGGTGTCTCTTTGTCTTAGCATCCGCTGCGGTCACCACCGTCCTACGCCTAACCTACGCCGAAAGAACCGCCGATAATTACGCTAGGATCTTATTCAACTTGGTGGTTAGCACGACGCACTTGGTCTGCGTCGTATATCCCGTATGGTTGAAAAGGGAGCAATTGGTAACGGCAAGGAAACAACTTCACAACGCTGTGGTCACAATCGAAGAACGGAAACTGTCTATGGCTTCCTCTTTGATCGCCCTGGCTAGTTTCTCGTTCGTCTGGCCCGGTTGCTATTTTTTATCGCCCACGGAAAACTTCTACTCTTGGCTGAGGCTAGTCCACGGGAACTGCGAGTTTTCCCTGCTTTGCGTGGCAGTTCTTCAGATATATTGCGACGTGTCTGTGGTTGAAGCAGTCTTGAAGGGTATCAACGAGGACCTCGGGCGTGATCTCTGCCGCATCGAACGAGTGGACCGTTGTTGCCGTGCCTACTGGAAAGTCCGCGAGGCGATCTCCCTGCTGAACCAAGCGTACGGTACCCAGATATTTATGTTCATGGTGGTCTCGGTCATTTGTTCTTTGATTGGATTCGATAGACATCTGAAACCGGCTTTGCAGTCTCCGGGTTACACCAGTCCATCGCGATGGGTGCTCTCCCTTCAAATATTTCTGATAGCGATGGTAAGATTGGGGCGAACATTGGTTGAGGTAACTTGACACCTTTTTCAGATGTACGTCGCCGTGCTGGCGTACAAGTGCAACGAAACCGTGGAGGAAGCGAAGCGGACCGCTCGGATCAGCTACAGGTTGTATTTGGAGCACCCCATCGTGTCGAAAACCGACCACGAGCAGCTCGTCAAGGAGCAGCTGTTGTGGCTCTCCCAAGGTGACTTGGCCAACTCGTTGCAGTTTCAAGCGATGGGTCTGGTAGCGGTCGACTACAATATGATTTACACCATATTCGGGACCATCATTAGCTACATAGTGCTGTTGCTTCAATTCAAATAGGAGTTTGGATCTGGTAGTTAGCGATTTTGTAGATTTTCAGTGTGAGAATTATTGTTTTATCCTTGTTAGATCACTGTGCGGATTGTTTTTTTAATAAAATTTTGACACCACGCGCGTAAATCCTTTCATTACTGGAATAGCAAGGTTGAATTAATTTTCGAATAAAACTTCCACATTTTACTGAAATACTATTTACCAAACATGAGTCGCGGATAAGATTTTTATCGAATAAGATTTGATCCGGTTCGGCAACTCCTGATGAGTGTATTTATCGTAGCCTTAAGGCTCTTTCATGTTCCCTGAGCCTCGTTCTCTGCCGCATACGCATTCAATGTTCCTAATATCTCAAACGGAATTTTGGACAAGTGGTAAATCTGAATATGACGTTACATTTCTTAAAGAATTTTGTAAGTTGTAAGCTTGGGGTTGTTTTATGATTCATCATTATGTTTGGAGAGTTGTGACGAAGTGTATTTTGGAGATGGAAGGTGTTTTAATTTTCGGTTCTAGTTTTACGGCTCTGCAAATAAAAAATAACCGATGATTTTTGGGCTGGATGGTAATACGACAATGCATTAAAGTCTGTGTGTAGGTTTTCTGTAAGTGTGTGTTCTATTGATGAGCATATCTAGGATTTTATTATTAGAAGATTATTATTAGCTTCTAAAACGTAGTTTAGAGTGTAGAGGTGTAGAGAGCTTGAATAGCTAAGAAAACCTGGCAAGGATTCTTGACCAGGAGCTTCATTTTAAATTCTTCCAAGCATAAATTCGCTATGAAGAAGAAGAATACCTTTGAGACAAGCATTTTTCACTTAAGATAAGAAGATAAGAAATAATGACTTTAGTAAAGAGGGATTCTAAGTCCAACGAACATTTCGATGTAAATGCTTTTAATATCAAAGCTAGATATTTTGCTAGAGAATGTCTTGATAAACCACTGCTGACGATAGATAGAAGGGATAATACTGATTTGTGAATCTTAGGGAATCCATGGAGACGAGGAATTTTAGTCATGAAGAGTGACAGACTTTTTCACAGATTCTAATAGAGAAGAAGCCTGAACCGATTTGAGGTTGACTATAGGATCTCTCCATCTGAAAAAATGTCTTGAATTTTTTCCTGAAATGCCCACATTTATCTGCTTCTTAAGGGTAAAGCGTTTAGGCTTTGGATTATTAAATTCAGTAGGTATGGATTTTTTAGTAATTTTCCTGGTTTCAAATCGAATTTCATTAGCTGAAGCTGCCAACAACCAACGCAGGAGGAATCCAGAAGAATTGTAAATGGTAAATCTGACCTAGTTCCTAATGGACGAGCTACACTTAACCACGGATATAGGACGGTCGGTTAACGATAAGGACCAGACTCCAGCAGCAAAGTTTGCCCGTGCTTATCTGTTAGAATTCATATCGGCGAACGGTAACAAACCGCGCAATTAATGGCGAGCCCGCTAACTGACCCCGGACATTTGCAACGGCTTTCGGGAGGCGAAACAATGAAATAGCATCGAGAAAACTCCCAGCGTGAAAGGATAATTCGATTTGGAAACCGAAAAGAACGAATTGGAAGCCGCCTTGTGTTGCAATTATCAAAATCCGATTCGAAGCTTCGGACCGCACCGTATTTGATGACGCGCAACGATGTCCCTACGTGTATTGTGTTTTTTTCGTCAGCTCCAAATTAGTCGAAGCGGTTTAAATGCCACCGAATCGCAGAAAGTGTTTGGGAGCTTTCGGTTTTATAGTTCTTATCATATTGAAATAATCGATGACGTCATAATACTTTATTTTGTAGACCACGTCAGATCTAGTCTATCAAAGAAATTATTATTACTGACGATTACAATTTTACCAAAAAAAAAATAGTGCGTCAGTTGAATTTAATAAATTTTAATCCGTTTAAAACCCGTTTAGAACAAATTGTTTAAGAAGCCTATAAGAAATATGCCTAAAGATACACGAATAAAAATACAGGGTGTTTCACCTCGGACGTTAACAGCAAACCGTTCTCAAAATTTGATTAGTTTCATAAGCGGCGTACGCTAAGACTTCATGACATCGAGAAAATAAATATTTTCTTCATTATTCGTGCTGAAATATATAGCTTCAATTAATTTTTTATTACTGCGACACTGGAAGTAGTAAAACGTTAAAATTTTGGACCTACTTTAAGGAGGTATTGAACAGAATTTGCCTACCAGATACAACAACTTTGAAAAATGCATTTTTTCGAATGGAACGCCCTGTACACACTTCAGAGCAAATTAAATGCCCTTTCAAATGAGGTCTCACATCCCCTATTCCTAAATCGTCTGGTTTAAGTGCCCAGCAAGATCGCCCGATCTTGTGCCATTAGATTTTTACCTATGGGGTGTGTATTCGACACCAGTGGAGAGCATCGAATTGTATGATGCTTTGAGCAAATAGATCCATCGCAGAAAAACAAGGCTTCTGCCATCGGCCCACTTCAACCGATTTTAGTGTTTAGAATGCAACGGTGACCACTTCGAAAATCTATTGGGCTTCGATTCATTTCTGTGTGCAATTTTTAGTTAAAATTAGAATTAGTTAATTCTGGCAATTTTTCTCTCGTGTTGATTCATTTTATTAAATTTTCTTGTCCATGGATAATAAACAAACTCATTAAAACAGCATTATAAAACAGGTTTCTTCTATTTGTAGACAAAATTTGCGCTACAATCAATAATGAGTAAATGATTATTGAACTGTATCCCATTTAAAATTTCAGTGTTGACGCGACGGCGTCGCAGCGTAAAAAATTTTCAGAATCATTCCATATACCGTTAGCCAGTGAAACACCCCGTATATTTCTGACGAGTCTCCCAAAGAGGAAAGATAATTTTTTACCTTGATGATTGGCGGGTTAACTTTCCAAGCCTTGGTGACGCTCTTTAAAGCTTTACTGCTGGGATCTAATAGCCTCATGGCCGTAATATTGGTGCGAATGTTCCTGAAGTGAGTCCAGTCCAAAGTGTGCGCGTCCTGCAAGGATGAAATTTAGCTCAGTTTCCTTAGAGAGGTGAGGAAAAAAAAATTACAAGCGCCGAGGGGCAATACGAAAAAAGTAAAATAATGGAAGGCAATTTTAATAAATAAACAAAGCGGCACGTACCAAATCGGTGAGTATATAGCTGTGGTAATCTTCCAAGAGATTTACTTCTTTCGCCTGCCGTAAAACCTCTAAAATACGAGCGGCTTTACAGTCCAGGATGAAATGAACGTCCTCGGAGTATTTAATTTGCTTCAGCACTGGCCTGCAACGATAATGCGGTACACTCTTGGTAAATTTTCGAAATATTTTACAGCGAAATAACATTTTGTTGGAGCGAGATACAATTACACGATGCCCCGTAGAAAAGATTAATTTTTAGTTAGTTAGCGATAATTTAAAGGTATTTTCCACATACATAAAATGTATTTGGAAAATATCATGGTAGAAGGTAGAAGATTCCTCATAGCTTATCTACTTTTTTTTTTAACTACTCACCATAATAGCAAAGTTGCAAAATATAAACTTATTGAGCAGACTTGCAAAGCATTCTAGAAGATCTGTATGAGAAACATTCCGATCTCAGCATATATCATGGTAGAAGGTAGAAGAATCCTCATAGCTTATCTTCTTATTTTTTTTAACTACTCACCATAATAACAAAGTTGCAAAATATAAGCTTTTTGAGCAGACTTGTAAAGTATCCTAGAAGATCTGTATGAGAAACATTCCGATCTCAGGGGTGTAAACAACTATAAACCTCTTTTTACCTTCCTAGCTTTAATTAGTGTGTCTCTTCTATTGAACTACTAACGTATTAACTTTCTTGCTTAGTTTGTTTAAACAGACCAATTTGTAATTTGTAATTTGTAATTGTAATTAGGTATGAATTTTTTTGTCAAAAGTAGTTTTCGTTTTTTGTAAGTTGTATGGAAAATTTTTAAATATTTAAATCAGGTTTTCAGGTTTTGTTTTCAGAAGCTGCCAACGAAGTATCTGTTAGACTTGGAACAGTCATAGAACCCGTATAGCTTATAGCTACTATTACTACTTTTAACGAACCTGATTGAATTCAGTTTTTCACGATTATTCTCAACCCAGAAAAGGGAATACACTTATCAATCAGCGAGGTATGTCTTATTCTGAGATCAATAGAATCTTTCATTCTTCATCTTTTTTTATAGTAAAATTTGTTGAGGATTTTGAGTAATTTGCTAAAAATTTTGTCATGTAGTTTTTTGACTCTCTTGTATCGATCTGGAACGTTTTCAGCATCACAGTGTTGCCGCTTGCATCGAAAAGTAGTGACAATTGTGACATAAGATATTTAGCGAACAAATATAAACAATAATTATTACAAATTGGAAAATAATATCATAAAAATATCTCTCATAAATGTAAATTTAAATTTTAAAATAAATTTGATATGGAAGTAGGAGGGTAGAATGAGTGTCAACAGGTAGTTTTTTCAAATTGTCTTTCATATTATTAAAAATAGCATCTGAATTATGGATGAAATACCTTCAAAACGAACTAAAAATTATTTTGCTTGTACTTGACAACAAGTTTGTCAAGTAAATAAATAAAATTGTATAAATGCTCCACCAGTCCGGTTCATTTATCTTAGTTGATATGCTGCCATATTTAAATAAGTGTTATAAATAAATCTACAACATTAATTTTGGAGTTTTTGATGTCTACACTTTGTGAATTTATGGAGGCGCGGAAAGCGTACAATGTCAGATAAGGCGAGACTCTCACACAGGTTCCTCCTCATTTTAGACTTAATTATAGGTACCCAATTTAAGAAATTAATCGATAGTTTTTCACCCACAGGCTACCGTACTACTTTTTATAAAACCTCTAGATTCCTCCTACGTCGGTTTTTGTTGACTCAAAATTGCTTCTTCAGAGCTTGACTCAAACCAACACGCATATTAATTCATTTTTCTTATAACGGTCAAATTTTTGAACATACATCGGGAACAGCTATGGATTCTCCACTATCACCAGTCATCGAAAATATATTAATGGAAGAATTTGTGAAGAAAGCTCTCGTAACCTTCTATATAAAACCAAAATTGTGGAAACGCTAAGTCGATGATACTTTTGTTATTTGGATTCATGACATTTAAATTGTACTCCCTAACATATGTTTTATCATTGAATTAGAGACTAATAAAAAACTCCCATTCTTATATATTCTTATCCATAGAAAATCAGACCAAACATTCCACCACCATCCGTCCCAAAAATCATCGGTTATCAACTCACTTGTTTACAGCGCCGTAACCTTACCTCTGCGCTTCTCTCTAATAATTTCCATATTAAAGATATTAAGCGTTCCATCACAAAAAACACTTCACCACAACCCTCCAATAGCAATGAGCTCGAAAGCAATCCCATACTGGCAACTGTTGTCCAACCTTACATTCAAAACATCACTGACCACATATCAAAACTTCTAAAGAAATATAACTTCAAAACCAGACTTACCATTTATGCAAAAATCTCTGAACATCTTCGATCCGTCAAAGACAAAATTCTATTTGCGATGCCAGCAGTTTACAGCATTCAATGCATATGCGGCAAACAATACATTGTAGAGACCGGACGTAAAATATGACCTAGACTCAAAGAACATGAAAGAGCCTAAAGACTAAGACGAATAAACTCATCAGCAGTTACCGAACACAGTCAGGAATTCAACTGAACTGAATGAAACTGAAATTCTTGCATTTAATCAATTCTTCTACCAATGAAAAATCCGAGAGTCTATAGAAATCAATATGAAACCTAACAATCTTAACCGCGACTGAGGTCTTTACCTGTCATCAGTATGGGAATCAGTCGTCCGAGACGATGTTTATTCATCTCATTCGAAAAGTTTGAAAAGTTCAAGTAAACAAAAACCGACACAGGAGAAATCCAGAGGTTTTATAAGAAGTAATCGATATTCTAATTAAATTGATATTCTACGATTCATTCATTCATTCATCTTTCTACCAAAACTTAATTGCATATTTGTTAGTGAAGACTAGCCATGAAATTTCAACAGTATGCATTAGGCGGTCGATGCAAAAGCAAACTTTTTAAGCAGAACATTTGCCAAGTTGACAGTTTCGCCTTTCAGCCGAACATGGTCGCGGATCCCTCGCAACTTAACTACTAATATAACACTTAGTGACTTCTGAGACCGAGGGTATTGCTTAAGGGTGGTTATTTGTTCAGTCTCGCTTTTGCAGTTTACTTTACCGAGGCGACGAGGAAACCCGACTCTCCCTATGCATCTCTCCCGTCTCCGGTGCATCTCGGCGTGATTTATCCACCAATTCGCGTGAAAAACGACTCGCTCCCACCCACCTTATTTCACCCACCTGTAATCGGGTCCGGGACCCAATTTTCTGAACGTCACTGCAGGATCCGCGGGTCTCCGATTCAAACTCTCTCGCAGCCTTAACAATCCGTCGTCGTTTTCATAGATGATGGTGTAACTCTTCCAGTCGTTGTCCTTCACGAGCGTCGCGAGGGCTTTGGACAGTGCCGCAGCGCTGGGGTGCAAGTTGAATATGGGGGAGGACCTATCTGCAGTTAAAGAAGACAACCTCGGGTTCCAGATGGTTTGGAACTGCGGTATTTGAAGGGTCGACGACAAAGACTGGACCAGTTCGTTGATTTCCGGCGATTCGGGACCGAAGATGGCGGCCAGCCCTTTGGTGATCAGGTCGCAAACTGGAAACGAAGGCGCTTGGAATGTCAAGTCTCATGGGATGAAATTATAAAGGGTTTAATACTGCTTTACAATACAGTAACGAAATAGACATAGACGTCAATATTTGAACCACGTATTCTGTAACCCAAAATACGGATAAAAGTTCACGTAAACTAGGGTCCAAAACGTCTTAGTTTTTAACATACACTGTGTTGAATTTGAAGAGGTGATGGCGATTTCTTGTAAATATTTTGGAAACACGTAAACATTTTTAAATAATATACCATTTTTTATTAGAATAATTAGTTTTACAGTTGGTAGGTTGATTTGTCTTTTGTTAATAAAAGGATTTACGAGAACAATCCAAATAAAAACTATTTTTTACCAACAATGAACAAAATTGAAAACTGTCGAATGATTGACATTTAATTTTTATTTATCCAGCAACACAAACAAATGAAACGCGCCATTAACTTCCAAGGCATACTAATGATTATCTGCGCCTCGACTGTAAACATTAAAATTAAGAAAAAAATTGTAATTAAATTTTTAAAATCATTTTTCTCGAAAACAGTGCGTTCTAGCGAAGTGGGAGAAGGTGATTTGCAAATTCTGCAGTCCAAGTTACGAAAATTTGACAACCAAGAAATTTGGGTCAAATTTTTCCCACGCCTGAAGACAATCCAATACTAAGTTTTAGTTCGTTAAATAGGGCCTAAAAAGTTTAGTAACTGTACCAAATTTTATTTAAAAATATTTGCGTGCATCGAAAATATTTACAAAAAATCGCCATCACCTTTTGAAATTTAACACCCTGTACGTTAAAAACTAAGACGTTTTGGACCCTACTTTATATGAACTTATATTCTTATTTTGAGTGATACGTGGCTAAAATATTGTCTTCTAAGTTCGGGACACCTCGCATAAAAGGCCTAAAAATTAAGGAGAAATATTGCAGTATATTTGATTGTATGACTATTTAAAATATAAAACAAATGTCAAAATTAACACATCTCTTTTCAAACCAATTATTCTAAATTTTTTCAAGCTACGTTGGATAGTTAAAAACTGGCCGCAATAAGAATTAACAAAGTCTAACGACAGAACTAACTGACGCAAAGTCTAGAAATTAAATAAATCCTATAATAGCATCAACCAAACATATTTTACTTCTTTATAATTTTTTTTCCTTCCAGCTTCAACACTGAATAAAATACAAAACAAGAAGCCAAATTTTCAAAAGAGTTTTTAGAAAATTTTGAAATATTACCCTTTTCACCAGCTTCGTAGACCTTGTCGCCTCGGAACTGGTAAACGTGAGGTTGAATCGAATAAGAAGTTCTCGACTTTACCAGCTGGACGGCGCTCCTGATTGCCACTTGCGTAATCTCAACCCAGTCGTCGTCCTCTTGTAGAAAAATTGCTGCAAAATTTGTTGAATAATACTAATGCATTTTTTTCAATGCTTTACGAAAGCGCTGAAAGTCCAGAGTAAACAAAATACAGATTTAAATTTAATTTGACCAATTTTTGACGAATAAATCAACATTTCTCAGAGTTTTCAAGAATTTCTTAGAGTGCGAAAAAAAGGGACACAACTGAGAAATAATGAGTGTGCTGGTTTCATTCAGTTTATTATTTATTTATTTTTATTTTATTTATTTATTTATAAGTTTTGCCTACCCGAGGCAATTGACACCATAAATACAACATAACTTATTTAAGGAGACTGTAAATACACTTTGAGGTTAAGGTTTTTTTTATTCAAAGGCTTGTAATTCCATACATGCAAGCTGGTTGTTTGATTGGGTTTGAGAAACAATTAGAAAGAAGTAATGTCTTCCACAATAGCTTTAATTTTTATATATTTTTTTGTAAATTTCAAAAAGTGAAATATACTCGTATATTGACAAAATCCTGTATGTAATTACAGGCAAAAAAAGTAAGAACATTTTTTTATTTCACATCAAATTGTTTTACTAACTAACTCGCAGCTTTGATGCTTTGAATTTTTTTAGTTTTAACAAATAATAAGTGAAAAAGTGTTCTATTTAATATTAAACCAACTTAAAATTAAGTTCGGTTTTGTTTTTAATTTCACACCTAATTGTGTTGCCCGCTTGTAGTTTTAAAACCACAATTGCCAAATTGTTCCCCAATGATTTGTGGCTCAGCTATAAATAGCTTAAAGTAATTGAGTTTTGCTGTTTCGGACCAGCTTTTATTCACCTTTGTTTCTAAGCAATGCAGTGGACCACGGATACAGGGTGGCTAAAAACCAAAACGTCAGACTAAAAAGGCACTCAAAAAAATTTGGTATTGGTGGGGAGTGTATTTTCTGGGTTGTTAATTATTTATTTTCATATTTGGTGTTTGTTTCCATACTCCCCTTAAAAATAAAAAAAATGCGTAATGAAACATGGAATCAGACACAGGGCGTGATTTTTTCTCGCGCCATGTAACAAAAATGCCATGGGACCAATGAGAACGAGTTATTAGTTTCTGATATATCAAAACGCTGCAATTTTTCTCAGAGGAAACATTTTATCACGTGCGTCACGGACACCCTGTATACGCAAAACTCCGCCAAACTCGAAGACTCTCTCACCCACATTGACGACGGTCTTTTGCCTCGAACCTTGGACAAAGGGCACCACCAAAAGACACTTTATTAGGAACAATGCAGACATAATTGCCACTCGCGAGGTTAGGATCGAAATGTCCGCCATTTGTTTACGGCGGGCGTGTTTCCGCCGCCTGAGGCGCTACAACAATAATTCGTTTCTATTTTTAACCGTTTAATTTGGGATTTATATTATGGAAAATGTTATTGCCCTTTCGCATCTCGTCGGTCTTCGATTCGCTTTGCGCGACACCCATGGGAGCAGTTATACTTTTATTTATTTATAAGGATACGACTGAAAAAGAAAAGTTGGTCGAGGAACTATTAATAAGAAGTGAAAAAAAGAACAAAAAGATAAATAAACCAGTCGACAAAAAGGTGAATAAAGTTAAACGGAACCTTAAAGGGTTTACTCAGAAGTAAAAATCTTCATCTGAAGATGATGATGATGAATTGCCTCTATCACTGGATTCCACGTATGATATGTCTGAAGATGAAAATGATGACGAATATGATGTTTCATCTAGTTGTGAATCTGAAGATGATCATGGAAATGATATGCCACCAGAAACTAACGATTGGGTTGTTGTCAATTTAATATCAATGAAAACTTTGGTACATCGTTATGTTGGACAAATTCAGTCTGTTAGCGATTCCGGTGGCCTATAAAAGACGATGTTGCTGAAGTGGCTAGATACCAAATAGCAAAAAAAAATCCACCTGAGTTCAAGTCTAACAGCAAACGAGTGATCTCATTTAATTTTACTAAATCTTTAAGAACATTTAATATTTCGCGTTAGGTTATTACCTAAAAAGATTGTTACTATTTGATTAGATAAGTCTTAGATCTTGCAATGCAAATGTGTGATATGAATACCTGATGTTATTAGTAGTTTCTAGTTGTCAAAGTTATTTATGTTTGTTACATTTCCTTGAGATTAATACAAAGAGAAGTTAATGATAGTTAGTGATTTAAAACGTTTGAGTGGTAGAAGTTATTTAAGTACCAAAGTGATTTCCTAATGTAAGTCTTATCTTTAGGTGATGAGCAGTTCGTATAGATACTGCTAAGACTTTTGAAGCTTTATTTTAAGAGTTGAGAATTTGTGATATGAATAGAGTTAGTACAAGATACTTGTTAATACTTATTAGATTTATGACAATGTAGAACTTACATTGAGATTGAGACTTAATAGTCACTAAAATTAATTTTTAGGACATGTAAAGCTAATTATATTCATAATTTTGTTATAACCAAACAGGGTTTTCATTAATTTAAAGTTTGCATGATCAAGTCTACCCGTTACTGGGATCAAGTCTCCCAGAATATGGGACACTTGTTCCTTTTGGAAAGTTTTTGCAAAAAAATGAATGAAGCACTCATAAATATAATAATGAAACAATGGAAAACAATAATAAAAAACAAAAAAAAATAAATTTGATAAAAATATAAGCAAGGAACCGAAATGGTGATCAAGTGTCCCCAGTTTCGCCTGCGATCAATCAACAGTTAGTAAACAAAGAAAAGAGAACACATGCGGATTTTTACTGGTTCATTAGAGTATAAGTTCCAGTATAACCGTAAATTGGTAAACAACAGTATAGAAAAAAGAAATATGAGCAGACACAGCGATATTAGAGTTCACTCGTAAACTTTGAGGCCTATTATAATAAATTTTAATTTTTAAATTTTAACTATTCCCATAAAAAAATGTCACAAGGATTCAGGTCGGACCTGTTGGCAAGCCATTTGATAGTTCCTTGCCTAAGTATCCAAAGTATATATTTATTATTTAGATAATCGGTAGCCGGTTGGACATTTTGTGAAGGTGTGCCATCTTGATGTGAAACTTATGATATTTTAGGGTTCGTTGAATTTTACTCTAGGACTCTCCAGAAAATTTTTTAATGTTAGGTATAAAATATAGAATAGAATATAATTTGGTTGATTAATTCAAAAGAATGTTATATTGCAAATTATGGTTTAAAATCTGCGTGTAATTATAAAATATTTACTCATTTTGTTGAGGGTTTAACTGTTGGAGCTGTCTAATGGGATCTGGTTTATGTAATTTAACTAAAGAATATCATTTCGGCGGCTGCGGATTCATAATAGTTAAAAAATAATTGTCTTTGATATAACTCGTGTTTGATACATTGGAAAAGTTCTGGTTTCAGAAAATTGTTAGTTTTTGAAATATATTCTGGGAGATCGATAGCTATGACTGTCTTCCCTTTATCTGCACGTGTAAATGTTATGTTATTTTCAGGAGCTTTGTTTTTGAGAGATTTTACTAGTGAAATTAGAGAAAATTCTTGGTGTTTCCCTATAATTCACAGTCAATCCCTAAACCGTCTAATTCTCTATTAATTTTCCAGTGCTGTAAGTTAAAGTTGAAACCTTTTTCCAGAAATTCAACTACATTTTTAGAAAATGTTTTGTCTATTAAGTTTATGAACCTGTTGTAAAATTGGTTAGTTAGTTATTGGTCGGTACACTGTGTAATAACTGGCTTGCTGTTAGATATTTTTGTATTAGAAATTAATTTGTCTAAATTTAGTCCGTTATCGATAAAATTATAATTAAAAAACAAATCCAGGCAACAGTAAACTCTATGTATCCGAAACCTAATACAGAACACGAACAATTTAAGACAACATAGGAGAACACAGCAAAAAAGCTTCAAAACATTTGTCAAAATGTGGTTTAAAAATAGCTTTCAGAACTAACAATATAATAAATTAAAAAAAAAAACAACAATAAGACGACATGTCCAAAATCTCAAAAATCAGGTGTCTACAGGTTGAAATGCGGATCTTGTCCTAAAATTTATATTGAACAAACAGTTAGATTCTTCAAGAAACGCATTAACGAACATAAAAGAGAGTTTAAAAACAATAGTCTCGATTCTAATTATGCTACACACTTAAACACAGAAAAACACATTTTTGACGACCATTTTGATATTTTACATTCAGCCACAAAAAAGAGAAAATTAAATTTATTGGAAGCCAAGCCACCTCTCCATTATTAAACTTAAATTTTCAAAACAACATTAAGGTTTTATCGACATTTTTCGGTATATATACGGGGTTAGCGTCGAAATTTCCTGGCCTGATATAGATGTAGCTCCAGTATCACGATAAAACTTTGTCTTATTTTAACTACATATCTTAGTAGGCTGCGAAAAAAAATTGAAGTCTTGATGACAGCGTTGTAAATAAGACGTGTCCGAAAAAATGTCGCAAATAAAGCAAATTTAGTATAGAGCAATCATAAAGTTTTTGACAAAAGAAGGGTTAGCACATAAAATTATTAAAGAAAGGCTGGACGGTGTGTACGACCAAAGTCCTCCTTCGCATTCTGTAGTGGGCAAAACGTTTTCGAATGGGGCAGGAGTCCCTTGAAGACGATTCAAGAACTGGTCGACCAGTGGAAGTCATAACGGAAGATATTGCGATTGATGAAGAGGTGGTAATCGACATTTAAAAATCAAGGAAAACCTGATACAAGTGTTCGTCGAATCCTGCATGGTCATTTAGGTAGGCATAATATGGGTTCCTAAAAACCTTCCGACTATTCAAAAACAACGTCGAGTGTGCGCGGTCTTTTTTGGAACCCTGTGGGTCGGAACCGAAGCCTGTGACTGTGACATGACATTCTATCGAAAAAAGAATCAATGGGGTGGCGTCGTAAGAGTGATCGAAGTTAAGGGGGATTATATTGAAGAATAATAAAAAATTGTTACTCTACTTTGTTTCTTTCATATTCAGGCTGGGAAATTTTGGTGCTGCCCTCGTAGCAGCAGGTAGTTTGTAAATATTACACGGCGTTGTCGAAACAATTGTCATGTGAATATATATAATTTAGAGAAAATCTCAACTTTTAGTTCTTATTTATTGTGTAAGCACATTTATCAGTATTCCGATGTAATTTACTTTTTATAGTCCGGTCATGTATTCCCTGCAAGGCTTGTTGAAGATATAGACAGTCAATGTAATTTTTAAATATAGTATAACTAGACCATCAGCATATAAAAGTATTTTAGTTTTTTACTTAACTTTGTTTTTACTTGATGCAAATCCATCATCGAAATTTGTGAAATTGGTTAAAAATGTCTCTCCGTTATTTTCTATTACCGGCTCTGTTAAAACTTGAAAACTCTCTTTCTGGCTGGTGTTTCTTTTCATTTAGGTTCTTCGCGTTAGCGCAGAAAGCAATGGTATTACCTTTTTCCTCAGTTATTATCCCGGCCGACAATTTACCAAGTTAACTAGCGGATTACGTGAAATTAGTAATGCTAGCCGAACGCGAATAAGCGTAATAAAAGATTTAACTTTAGCAAGAGAAACAGGTAATTGGGTTCGAGAGCGCAGGACGCCATCTTAGAATTTCCCAATAACGAGAACATTATCCAGCCTTTTTGACATTAGCGTTGTTCGACGATGACTTAAAAGACATAAGCAAATGAATCTAAATTTGATGCTACAGGGTGTTCAAAATAAACGACGATTTCAAATTGAAAAATTCCAATTTTCTGAAATGATAATATCTAAATTTGCTGTAGCAAAAAAAAAACAAAGTGTAGGGCTAGTAGCTATATATATATATATATATATATATATATATATATATATATATATATATATATATATATATATATATATATATATATATATATATATATATATTCTCACGTATTGATTCACGGATGGAAAAATGTGATGACACTATATTCCGGGATATCATCCGTTCGCTCGTTGAACTCCGACTGGAATCCTGCATCCGACTGGTATCCTGCAGACGTTTCACCAGAATCTCACTTGGCATCTTCAATGCTCAGTGTTCGAAGTGTTTTCGGAGCGCGAGCATTGAAGATGCCAAGTGAGATTCTGGCGAAACGTCTGCAGGATTCCAGTCGGAGTTCAACGAGCGAACGGATGATATCCCGGAATATAGTGTCATCATATATATATATATATATATATATATATATATATATATATATATATATATATATATATATATATATATATATATATATATATATATATATATATATATATATATATATATATATATATATATATATATATATATATATATATATATACATA